GGACGTGTACTGAGGACGGAGGCACAGTTCAAGTGACGAGTCATGCTGACACGGCGGTTTCTATGGTGTGGGGTAAATGTAATAGGCCGAAGGCTGGCCAATCATAATAAGGACAGGGGTGAGCCGCTGGCTAGGATCGAAGGCTGGTCAGTCAGAACAAAGAAAGGGGCGACCAAGTGTCCGTGACCTTCAGCAACGTTTGACGCGCGCCTCACGTCATGATGTCCCGACACCACGGACGGGCATGCATAGCACATAGGAGTAGAAAGTTGGGCGGATAACATCGATCCAGGCGTGATCAAACTCACGGTGAGCCTTGTAGCTCAATGGTAGAGCGTTGACTGTGTGGGTTCGACTGCCACCGAGGCCGCAAATTTTTTTGGGTCAACTATCTCCTGCAAATTATCTAACCTCTATCCCCCTTTTAAATTATAATCGACAGACCGCAATCGTAGCAGACTTCCTGATTTCTATCCTTTCGAAAAAAACGGGCATTGCCATCGTTCACCAAGTCCCCCAGAAAGTGAAACAGGCAAGATACTGGAATAAGAACCCCCTTCCCACCCACCTATTCTGGAGGACCCACGCTAACTTGCAGGGAAATTGGGGTTAGTGGCTAAGGTTCGGAGCTTGCCTAAGTATAGGGTGAAGATTTGGGTAATGTGAGTTAATATTTGTGTCAGTGTAATACTACACTTCCCTAAATTTCGCCCAGCGTCATTTGTTATACTGGTGGCTTTAGTTCCCGTGTGAGTGACTTCTGCAATGTCAGTAGGTACGATTGAAATACTGAATGCACTGCAGTTCTAGGAGCAAAGTGCTTTCCCAATGAATTCTCATTTGCTCTTAGCTTATCTGCTTCGGGTGCTGTCTAAAAGTGGTGGGTACTGCTAAACTAAATCTCTCCAAAAACCCTTGTTTCGTGACCTTTTGTGTTTGCCTTTAGAACAACACCAGTTGGAGTCTGTTTCATGGTCCTCAGCTCTGTCGTCTCGGCCGATGACATTGGAAGCAAATTTAAGGCCATTGGCATGTTTTTGCTCTTCAACGTCGTCGGAACTGTCGTCCACTTGCTCTTCCTCTGCCTGTCTCTCCTGGTGGTAAAGAAGAATCCCTTCCGTCTGTTGCGCCACTGCCTCCAACCCTGGTTCATTGCTTTTGCCACTACCAGCGGGTAAGCATCCCCTGGCCTTGACCCATCTCACGGGACGAAGGTCTTACTGATTTGCAAATTTCTAGCACATATCACCTTTCGGTCAATGGTAAACCATATGGTAGGGGGGCACAACGCATGAAATATGCCCATTTTATGAAAAATTCCAACCAATGTGAAGCCTGTCTAAATATATCCACTTAAAAACCCAACTAATGGGCAACTATCTTCACTTAAATGTAAATTCGAAAGAAGTGTTTGTAGTGATGTTTTGTTGGTTGCAAATGTTGAGCGTCTGAAAGCGAATACAACACTGGCTGTTACCATGAAACGCTTCCCGGGCAAGGGTACGTATATTTGTGCCTGAAGTCTCAGTTGATACTAGCGGCTGTCCTATCCTAAGCAGCTGATGTACCTGTCGCGACAGCTTTAGTCAGAGCCAGGCCCTAATCACGACGAACTCCAGCTCCAGTCCCCGATAGGTAGAAGAAAAGTTGCATGCCAGTAGATTGGGTGGTACATAGTCTACGTACCACAGGTTCTTTCGCTGTTTTCTTCCAATAATTGCTTCTTTTTCCGCTGTGGCATCGTATCAGTGGATAGATTACCATGCGGGGGCTTTTGTGCCTGTCAGCATAAAGGCCTTACTTATAAAAATGACGGTAGAAAACGACTGAACGATTTCTATGCATAAGAGCAATTCCACCCAAAGAATTGTCTGAGTGAAGGGAGGTTGTACTTCAGAAAAGGAGAGAAATCAGTAGATTATCAAATAAATGTGCGTTTCCTCTAGACTCATAGAATAATGCTTTACCTCTACCAGGACAGTTTGCCGAATAAAATAGACCTTTGGGTTTGAAGGTCCTTACAATTACTTAAGTTATGCCTTATTTCAAATTTGAAACCGGATAAAGCAACATATTTTGGTAGTTTACAGCTTAAAAATCAAGGATTCTAGCCTTCACATATACGTCAACTGATTTGAGGGTGCGGGATCAACGAAAGCGAGTTTTACCGGAACCTTTAAAATAAGGCCTGGATTATGTTAGGCGAATGGACTTGCCATAGGTCATCTAAGTAATATTTGACTACCAAAATCCTACCCCTCTCCGAACTGTCCATTTTTGCTCAAGGATACGCGAGCTAAGTCGTCTTCCGTACTGGCCTGGATACCGGCAAGCAGAGTCTCGACGTTGGAATTAATAATCTACACCAAATTGCTGGCCTGCATCCAATCTTTCTTTCACTAGTATGCTACTGCCCTCAATACAACGCAGTTACTCGTTTGAAGGTGTCAAAGCGAAAGTCAACCGAAAACCTTACTTCACACAGTTCGTCCATTCATGGAAGTGTTTCTTGAACCTTCGGAATTTGGTCTCCGTCGTTGGCGAAGATAGTGGGTTGAATTGTCTAGATCTGCGTCCGATGATCAGCATGCATGGGGAGATAAAATCCATGACATCATCGAGGCCAGCTAGATCAGGTATGATCGAAGCCGTATTGCGTATAAGTATTCGGGTACGCATGGCAGTGGTCGGGTGATGGGCGATAGCCAAACCAAGTCTGCGAAAATACGATACATTGCTTCTGCCAGATTCTTTTTCACATGACAGCGGGTGCCAGAGTCTTAGTGGTCCTCTCCCGTTTGTTTCTCGCGGACGTGTATGAAGATAACAGCTGATTAAAAAATAGTGCCGAACACTCGCCGTTCCTTGACATCCGAGTCAAACGCAGACTCACTGGAGAGACTACCAACGCAACTCAAGTCCTCAATTACCATAGCTGCCACCCGATGGTGCAGACAGGCGGCTGTGTTAGAGCGCTATTCCCCAGTGCAGAAACGCATTGCAGTAGGCCGGAGAAACGAATGCCGTTATCTGACAGTAAAATAAACTTAATTTAGCTTTTTAGTCTGCACTGATACTGGTGAGAACTTAGTTGTTAATTAGGTTCCTGTTCTCACGCCAAGACCACCAGATAATTGCCGAAAGTCTGCTGAGGTATGTTTGAAATAGCTTCGTGCTGAACTGAGCATTTATTCATTAACCTAAGATTCGACAGTTAGCTAAATAACTGTTTGGTAAAGACTATCGTTCAACAAATGAACAGACCGACCAAGTAGATCTAACTATGAGAAAGACCACACCTGTGCCGTTACTATGGGTCTCGTCGGTTATTTCTGCAACGACGAAAATGGGGTCCTTCGGTCCTCAGGTCTTAGTGAACTACTGATTGTCCAGAAGATGGGAGACAATAACAAAATTCATCCTATCCCTCGTATACGTTTTTTTTTAATTTTCACAGGTAATTTCGTTAACTTAAAAAAATACTGTTGAACTAGCAAGATTTTTTACTTAGAAAATATCTTCAGGAATTCTCATAACCCCTTGTTTCTGTGGAAAGACGATTCTGTGATGATCCGCAATTACAGTCTCAGGAGTATATGCCACGAACAGAGTTTTACATCAGTTAGCATTGACACTATGAGTTTTGAGTTCTTGTCCGAAATCCGATAAGTAATCGCAGCTGGTAGACTAAGCAATATCCGGTAGTCCGTTAAATTAGCGACTTCTGTTGGTGGCTAATCTTGTTCGATCGCAGTTTTTCATTTGCCGCTATTTCATTGGTTTTCTAAAGAAAGTCTAGAATTGTAAATGACAGTACTAGTTTTTATGAGTGCGCCGAAAGCCCAGCTAAGGGAGCATGCAGTGTGTCACTTCTAAACACAACTCTTTAGAAAAAATTGATCTAATTTGCAAGAGGTTTTCTAAGGATTGCGCACGCATTATTTTCATGAAAAGACTCCTATTTGCCACCCTAAAGAACCGTTAAGCTGCAAAGGTGAGGAGCTTCTGTTTCTAATTTTTTTTACTTTTCTCGTCATCGTTTTTTGCCCGCAGGACCATTGCCATTCCCAGATGCTTCGAAGCCGCGGATGCGTATGGTATCCGAAAATCTGTGTCGCGCTTTGTGCTGCCTCTCGCTGGAACAATGAAATCGGACGCCGCTGCTTATTTCATTGTCGGTTCCTGCCTTTTTGTAGCACAGGGCATGAACATTGATCTGGACCCTGCCAAGCTTGTGATTATTGTGTAGGTTTGCTCATTATTTTTTCACGTGATTTACCCCTCTCCCTCATATACTTTTTAGCTGTTGTTGCAATCGTTTCTGTCAGTGAAAATATTTCACACTGTAAACAGACACTGGCAACCTCGAAAGAGGACCTGAGCTGCAAGTCCATAAACTTACTTAGAAACTGGAATTTAAACGAAGTTGTGGAATCTACGCTTCCCTCC